AGGCGCCAGGGCTGTGGTGGCAGACAGTCACAATGCAGTGCAGGAATTGGAAGTAGTCCTTCTCCTGGCCCCTGTGGCCTTCCTACACATTCTATAAAAAGTCATTCCCAGGGCCAGATGCGGTGACACACACCTGTAATCTAAACACTTGGAAGGCTGAGGCAGGAGAATTGCAAGTTTGGGACCAGTCTCAGAAATTTAGAGAGAATCTGTCTCAAAAAAAAAAAAAAAAAAAAAAAGGAAAGGTCATACCTGACTGCCAAACAAATGGACTACCTCTCCAATCCTCTGTCTGGCCTCCCTCCTGCTCCCAACTACTGTGGCACTGACATCGAAAATACCCATTTGGGGGCTGGGGTTGTAGCTCAGTGGTTGAGCACTTGCCTGGCATGTGTGAAACACTGGGTTCAATCCTAAGCACCAAAATAAATAAAGATATTGTGTCCATCTACGATTAAAAAAATATTTTTAAAAAATACCCAGTTGCTGTGGCCCAAATGTGCTGTGCTGTGTTCAGGATTGAATTTTGAACTAAAATGGGAATTTTTCTTCTATAAAAAAAGAATATGTTGCCGGGCATGGTGGTGCATGCCTTAATCCCAGCAGCAGGAGAGGCTGAGGCAGGAGGATCTCAAGTTCAAAGCCAGCCTCAGCAAAAGCGAGGAGCTAAGCAACTCAGTGAGACCCTGTCTCTAAATAAAAAATACAAATAGGGGTTGGGATGTGTGTGTGGCTCAGTGGTCAAGTGCCCCTGAGTTTAATTTCTGACACACACACACAAAAAAAGAATACATTTAAAGCAAGGATAGTGGCACATATCTGTAATCCCAGGGACTCAGGAGGCTGAAGTAGGCCAACCTCAACAAATTGACAAGGTCATACACAAACCTATTTCAAAAAATAAAAAGGTCTGGTGATGTAGTTGAGTAGTTAAGCACACCTGTATTAAATCCCTAGTATCAAACACACACACATATATGCTTGCCAGCAAACGATGTGGTAAGCCCTTCTTTTACCTCTTGTTCACCCCTACATCAATCACTCTCTCCAAGAGTGATCCCTAAAATACTATCATCATCAGTCAACAGTGGTACACTCCCATAATCCCAGCTACTCTGCACTCTGAGACAGGAGGATAGAAAGTTTGATCTGTCCCCTCAGAAATGATCTCATTTCCCTATCACCAGTTGTTTTTTCTTTCTCTCTCCACTGCCTCTTTTCTCTTGGCAACTATAGTGTATATGTGTGCGTGCGTGCGCGCCTGTGTGTGTGTGTGTGTGTGTGTGAAAGAGAGAGAGAGAGAGAGAGAGAGAGAGAGAGAGAGAGAAAGAAAGAAAATGCTGGGGCCAAACACAGGGCTTCAAAGATGCTAAGCAAGTGCTCTGCCACTGAGCTACACCCCCAGCCCTGCCCACTTTTTAACTTTGTTTTTTTGGTGGTCCTGGGGATTGAAACTAGGGACTCACCAGGGACTCTCTACCACTGAGCGACATCCCCAGCCCTTTTTATTTTTTAATTTGAGACAGGGTCTCACTGAGTTGCCAGTCTGGCCTCAAACTTGCAATCCTACTGCCTCAGTTTCCCAGTCACTGGGGTTACAATTATGTGCCACTGAGGCTGGCAAATTTTTAGGTTTCTGATTGAAAGTATTATGACCCTGCAGGATTGAGTCCCAACCTTTTTACAGCCAATTTCCTAAAAAGAATGTGGTTCTAAACTTAGCTCACAACATAATCACCTAGGGAATAAAGTTAAATCAGAGTCCTTCTGAGCCCTGGGCTCAGTCTTCTCTCCAGAGAGTCAGGAGGAGCCTTGAAACAACCTCCAAGGCAGGGATTTAGCCAGACTCTTCTAGGAACCGCTGTCATCCCTGTTACACACACACCATCTAACCATTCCACCAAACCTGCATTTGCATGTGACTGGACACTCTCCTTCAAAAACAAAAGCCTGGCCTGGTGTGGTGGCACATGCTGGTAGTCCAGTGACTCTGGAGGCTGAGGAAGGAGGATCACAAATTCAAGGTGTGGCCCTAAGAAACTTAGTGAGACCCTGTCTCAAAAAATAAAAAGGGCTGAGGATGTGGCTTAGTGATTAAGTACCTCTCGGTTCAAATCCTCAGTACCAAAAAATAAATAAATAAAATAAGAGCCTCCAAGACTGGTAAGCACTTGGCTAACTAACTTTGTGCTTTGAAGCACCAGGAACAACCCACTGCACAAGGGGGACCCCTCAGAGTCCTCTGGAACCTCTGGGGAAATGAAGCTTATGGGCTCCTGATAAATCTGTCATAGAATGTATTCCCTCTCTCCCATAGAGTAGAATGAAATGGCCATGACTTTAGGGATTCTCTCTCGATATTTTATTATAACAGCATACAGAACATCTGAAGGAACTACAGAGTGACCAAGCATATACCCAGGCTCTACAACTGTGAATGTTAGTATCTCATATCTCCCTGAAACATTTATTGCTTTATCCACTTATCAATCCATCTTATTTTTATGCATTTCAACTAAGTTGCAGATACTTGATCTTACTTTTTATATGTAATATTCACATAGAACAGCTCCATTTAGCCCCAACTGGCCCAAGCTCAGCCTTACTTCAGATTGTTGCCCTCAAGAAACATAAATTCAGAAATTTTAAAAACTAATGGAGGGCTGGGCTGTGGCTCAGTGGCAGAGCACTTGCCTGGCATGTGTAAAGCACTGGGTTCGATTCTCAGCACCACATATCAATAAAGTAAAGGTCCACTGACAACTAAAACATTAAAAAAAAAAAAAAACTAATGGAGGGGATGGGGCTGGGGCTCAGCAGTAGCACACTTATCTGGTATGTGTGAGGCACTGGGTTCAATTCTCAGTACCACATTTAAATAAATAAAATAAAGATCTATCAACAATTTTAAAAACTAAAAAAAAAAAAAAAAAAAAAAAAACTAGTGGAGCCTGGAAATCATCAAGAAATGACGATAATTCCCAAGTACTTCAGCTTCTACCCTGTGCCTATTCTTAAATCTGTTCTTGCCAGGTGTGGTGACACACAGCTGTAATCCAAGTGACTCAGGAGGCTGAGATAGGAAGAGCGCAAGTCCAAGACCAATCTCAACCCAGGCCCAAAGCAACTTAGCAAGATACTGTCTCAAAAAAAAAAAAAAAAAAAAGGAAAAAAGGTTGGGGATGTAGCTTAGTGGTAAAGCACCAATGCATGAAATCCCCAGCACCAAAAAATGAAATATCTAATCCCAATCCCATAGACAATCTTGAAAAACAGAGAATGGTGTATTTCACAGATGCAGAAGCATTCCTTTAGAGAAGGAAGATGTGCCCAAGTTCATTCAGGATTGACCAGGTGGCGTCAGTCAGTTTGGGACCCGAGACTCCAAGTTCCAGCCTATTGCCCAGCTGCCTGGCCTGTCATGAACAGACAAGGGTGTTTCATCATGATATGGGGCTGCCTCTGCAATCACTTGCATTTGGTCTCCTGTTCACCATGAATTAAGTATGAGTAATAGCAGTTGGCAATATGATAAAGTGGAAAAGGCAGCTACAGGGTCAGACTCCTCGCATTCAAATTCTAGTTCTGACACAAACAGCAGCTCCATGGCCAAGAGGATTGACTTTGCCTCAGGGGATTGACTTAGAAGTCAAGACCCAGGCTGCAACCAAGAACACCACTGTGTGGCTGTTGAAACAAATTAAACCAGAAGGTAAACAATAAAATGTCTCTATTCCAATAAATGGGAGCCACCCTAATAGCCATAATAGTCACTAAAAAAAAAAACTTTAAAATCTCAATGATGAATTCATACTCAAGTTCCTATCATATATCAGACAGCAAGGATACAAGAAGTTAACTCCCTGCACTAGAGATCTTTTCTTTTGTGTGGCAGTACTTTCAAACCCAGGGCCTCACATGTGCTAGGCAAGTACTATACCACTGAGCTACCTTATTTTATTTTGAGACAGGGTCTCACCAAGTTGCTCAGGCTGGCCTCAAACTTGGGATCCTCCTGCCCTAGCCTCCAAGAGTACAGTTCACAATAGCTACATGTGGAACCAACCTAGATGCCCTTCAGTAAATGAATGGATTAAAAAATGTGGCATATATACACAATGGAATATTACTCAGCAATAAGAGAGAATAAAATCATGGCATTTGCAGGTAAATGGATGGAGTTAGAGAAGATAATGCTAAGTGAAGTTAGCCAATCCCAAAAACCAAATACCGAATATTTTCTTTGATGTAAGGAGGCTAATTCATAGTGGGATAGGGAGCAGGAGCATGGGAGAAACAGACAAACTCTAGTTAGGGCAGAGGAGTTGGAGGGGAAGGGAATGGACATGGGGTAATTAATGATGGTGGAATGTGATGATTATTACTATCCAAAGTACAGGTATAAAGACACAAATTGGTGTGAATATACTATGTATACAACCAGAAATATGAAAAATTGTGCTCTATATATGTAATAAGAATTGTAATGCATTCTGCTGTCATGTATAAATTTTAAAAAAAAGAAGAAGAAGAAGAATTTAAACTTAGGCTAGGGTTGTGGCTCAGTGGTAGAATACTGGACTAGCACGTGCGAGGCCCTGGGTTTGATCCTCTGCACCACATAAGAATAAATAAATAAAATAAAGATATTGTGTCCAACTACAACTAAAAAATAAAATTTTTTTTTAAAAGAATTTAACCTTTACTTCATTTACTTTTATTTATTTATTTTTAATGTGGTATACTGAGGATTGAACCCAGTGCCTCAAACCATGCTAGGTAAGTGCTCTACCACTGAGCTACAGCCCCAGCCCCAAGTTAAATGCTTTAATGTGAACCTTTATTTTATTTATTTATGGTCTAGGGGATTGAACTCAGCAAAAGTGAGGTGCTAAGCAACTTTGTGAGATTCTGTCTCTACTTTAAAATACAAAAATAAGGCTGGAGATGTGGCTCAATGGTTCAGTGTCCCTGGGTTCAATCCCCAGTACCAAAAAAAAAAAAAAATCAACTTAAAAGAGACAACCCCACAACCCCCAGGAAGCCCCAGTGTAAGAACTCACTTTATTCCAGCCACAGTTGTCCTAGTTGTCACTCTGGACACCTGCCATTCAGGTTATCACCTGATGGCAGACTGAATCCACTCTGGCTCTAAAAGACATAACCCAAAATGAGCAGGTGGGGCTATAGTGTATTTACATGGAAAGCTCCAAAGTGCTGCAGTTGAATATCCAGCCTCACTCAGGGTCATGGATCTTCACTCTGTTTTCTGAACAGGGCCCAAAGGAACAAAGGCACCCACACCATCACAGCCCCTCCCTGGTGACAGGGGAGCTGCCAGTCCAACCTGAAACAGTATGACAAAGGCAGAAGACCCCATCCTGTGGGGCTGCTTTGTCTTCCACATCCCAAACAGTCCAAAGGAGCCTTGGTTGCCCCTAAATCAGGTCACAGAACAGCAGGAGACATTCCTTTGGCAAAAAAGGACACACTCTTATCCTGTATCTTGTATTGGTAAGTGAGGCTCCGATCCCGCTGGGCTGTGGGCTTCAATGGTCTCCGCCAAAGGATCCTTAGCTGCAGAGAGGGAGAAGAATGAAAGAGGGGCAGCCACAAGTACTACAAGTATCCATTTGTTTCACTGTGAACCTTGCTCAGCCACTTTGTGCCCTCTTATTGAGATTTCTATGGGATCTTTGTCAGACGAGCCATACAGTAATGGGACCAATGACTTTTGGAAGGGAGTAGTGGTACCAAAGATTGAACCCAGGGGTGTTTAACTAATAAGCCACATCCCCAGCCCTTTGTTTAAAGTTTTTAAATTTTTTTTTATTTTGAGATAGGGTCTTGCTAAGTTGCTTGGGCCTCACTAAGTTGCTAAGACTGGCTTCAAACTTGTGATCCTTCTGCCTTAGCCTCCTGAGCCACTGGGATTAAAGATGTGTGCCATCGCACCTAGTAGGACCAACATTTTTTTTTTATTATTTATTCTTTTTAGATATATATGACAGTAGAGTATATTTTGACATATCATACATACATGGTATACATCTTCCCATCTTTGTGGTTATATATGATGTGGAGTTACACTACTCGTGTTTTCATGTAAGAACACAGAAAAGGGGTTGGGGATGTGGCTCAGTGGTAGAGCACTTGCCTACCATGTGAGGCACTAAGTTCAGTTCTCAGCACCGCATATAAATAAATAAATAGCCAGGCGCGGTGGCACACACCTATAATCCCAGCAGCTCGGGAGGCTGAGACAGGAGGATCTTGAGTTCAAAGCCAGCCTCAGCAATGTTGAGGTGCTAAACAACTCAGTGAGACCCTGCCTCTACCTAAAATACAAAATAGGGCTGGGGATATGGCTCAGTGGTTGTTTGTCCCTGAGTTCAATCCCCAGCACCAATAAATAAATAAACAGTAAAGGTCCACTGACTTTTTTATATACATAAAAGACCTGTGCTTTAAAAAAAACAAAGAACATAGGAAAGTTATGTCCAATTCATTCTATTGTCTTTCCTATTCCCATTCCCCTCTCTGGGATCAACTTTTAAAATAAACTTATTGCCAACTAACTAAAATTAAAGGTTTCCCCCTCCAATACAATAGTAATATTTGCTTGTTACAGAAAATGTGAAAGCAAAAGAAAAAAGATGGAAAAAAAAATCCCCCAGAGAAAAACTATACAAGTTTTTTTTTTTGTTTTTTTTTTTTTGTTTTTTTTTTTTTTTAGTTTTTCGGTGGACACAACATCTTTTATTTTTATATGTGGTGCTGAGGATGGAACCCAGCGCCCCACGCATGCCAGGCGAACATTTACCACTTGAGCCACATCCCCAGTCCCTCCATTTGGTTTTTTTCCTATTCATGGTTTTGTACTTGTTGGTTATAATAACTTTGAAAATCAACACACTAGAATTTGTACAATCAACACAGAAGCTCAGAAAGACTGGACATTTATTCTTTGCATGTTTTTTTTTTTTGGGGGGGGGGTTGTTTTGTGGTACCAGGATTGACCAAATATATGCTATGCCAGTGCTTTACCACTGAGCTACATCCCCAGTCCTAGGCATTTATTCTGATAATTTCACTGACTTGAAAGGGACCACAGGTACCCCATAGAACCCTCTCATGCTGTGTCACAGGTACCAACACAGCATTTCTGGGCTTGCTCCTTTGCTGAAATCTACCAGATTTTGCTCTGAATGACTCTGGGCCAAGGAGAATGGCTGCTGGATCAAGAGTGGTCAACAGGAAGATAACTGGAAGCTGTGGTGGAGGCCCACAGATGATTCCAACAGAGAAGTTGAGAAAGGTGCAGAACCACAGCAGCCCATTTGAAGGGGCAAAGGCTGGCTTCTCTCCTAGCTTCTGCTCAAGTACTGCACTCTGGCAGAGGCAGCAGTGGGGATGGGAGCAATGCCAGTCCATGGCTAAGGGCTCCCTAAGTCTTCATTTTCAGAGGAACAGTTTTAGCCTGAATATGTGGAGCAATTTTGCTATTACTTGATATCACAGCCCCTACAATTCACTCTAGACAGCTGTCTCCTTTTTAGCAGAGCTCCACTTTGTTCACAAAGGAGACCACTGTGGGAAATGTGCCCTGCCTCATGAGGCTGAGCACCATCTAGCACAGGTCACTGACTTGCACTGACACAGCTTCTGAGGTTTTCCTTCCAGCTGAAGGAATGTCTCAGGCCTAGGTATTCCTCCCTCAGACCTGACACTCTCACCTGTACAGTCTGGATTCACAAGCACAGGGCCAAACAGCCTACTGCCCAGCAAACCCCTAACCCCAACGCCTACATACCTGTCCATGTACATCCTTGCAGAAACCAGTGGCCAGGCCCTCAGCTCTCAGGATTAGGTGGCTCTGATGACTGAGGCCATTCAGCAGGATGTCATTCTCCTCATCTTCAGCATCTCCACTATCATGTACCAGGGCCACCACATTTCCCTGCATCAGACACAGAAAATTATTGCTTACTGAAAGGGACATGAAGGTCAAGGAACACCATGCTCTCAGTGTCTCCACCCCTGTGTGTCCTCTCACAGATCATCCTCTCTGTACACTTCTGTAGCTACAGTCAGCCCCTTAGCAGGAAGGACTCCTGCTGGGCTGGAGAACCCTAATTCTAATAATCCATTGGACACAGTCACCAGCAGGCCCAGCCTATACTTCCAGCTCCATTCATCTAAAATCAAGCTCACCATATAGTCGTCAAAATTAATTCAGTGTCCTCAATTCCTGAACATTATAACAAGTGCCACCATTCTTCCAGGCTCCAATTCATCCAGTCAACAAGTTTCCAGAGTACTTACTGTGTACCAGACACCACAATAGAGATAAGAGATGTAGGCTCTGCAGGATGACAAGTCTAAGAGAGAGGGAATAATGGCTGCTGGGGAACACAAAGGAGACACATCCTGTCTAGGTCAGAGGAGGGGCCAAGTGATGAGCACATCTGACCTGAGTTTTAAATGGCAAGTAGGAGTTAGCCAAGCAGAAATGATGTGGAAGAATGGATGTGGTGGTATGCACCTGCGGTGGGATTCCAGCAATTCTGAAGGCTGAGGCAGAAGGATTACAAGTTCGAGAACAACCTGGGCAATGTAGGGAAACTTTGCCTCAAAACAGAAAATAAAAAGGGTTGGGGTTATAGCTCAGTGGTAGAGCATTTACTCAGCATGCTCCAGGCCTTGGGTTTGATTGAGCCCCCTTCATTACTTCAGAAAAGAAAAAGGAAAAAAAAGTGAAAGCTGAGGGTTGGGCACACAGCTCAGTAGGTTTGGCATGCACCTGGGTAGCATGCACCTGGGTTCCATCCCCAGTACTACCAAAAGGAAAAAAGAGAAAAGTGATGGCTTAGATAATAAATTCTTTCAAAAGAATTCTGTCCAGTTATATTGTTTTTTTTGAATAACAAACATACTGACACTGTGTTATTTAATGAAAAAAGGAAAACCCAAAGAGTGTGGGTGGCAGATTACCAGTAATGTGAAGGAAAATACAGGGAGACAAATCACATATAAAAATGTTCACAATTGGGCTGGGGTTGTGGCTCAGTGGTATAGTGCTTGCCTAGTACACTTGAGGCACTGGGTTTGATCCTCAGCACCACATAAAGATACTGTGTCCCCTTATAACTGAAAAATAAATATTAAAAAAAAAATGTTCACAATTACATAGACTCTCCAGGAAAATAGACATTGGAGGGAGAAAGACAATTACTTTTCACTAAAGTACTCTTTTTTGGGGGAGGTACAGGGAATTGAACCCGGGGCACTTGGCCACTGAACCGCATCCCCAGTCTTAGTTTGTCCTTTATTTAGAGACAGGGTCTCACTTAGTCACTTAGCACCTCGCCATTGCTGAGGCTGGCTTTGAACTCTGTGATCCTCCTGTCTTAGCCCCCGGAGCCGCTAGGATTACAGGCATGTGCCACGACACCCAGCTAAAAGTACTCTTTGTACAGTTTCTTTCTTTCTTTTCTTCTTCTTTTTTTTTTTTTTTTTAAAAGAGAGAGTGAGTGAGAGAGAGAGAGAGAGAGAGAGAGAGAGAGAGAATTTTTAATATTTATTTTTTAGTTCTCAGCAGACACAACATCTTTGTTGGTATGTGGTGCTGAGGATCGAACCCAGGCYGCAHGCATGCCAGGCGAGCACGCTACTGCTTGAGCCACATCCCCAGCCCATTTTTTTTTTTTTTTAAATATGGAACGCTTTACGAATTTGCGTGTCATCCTTGTGCAGGGGCCATGCTAATCTTCTCTGTATCGTTCCAATTTTAGTATATGTGCTGCCGAAGCGAGCACCATTTTTTTTTTTTAACTAAACCTGTTTCACTTTTTGATCTAAAAGAAGTAATTTTTACAAAAAGAGAGTAATAATAGAACACAGAGCAAGCTGAGCTGCAGAAGGTGACTTTTACTACCTCCTTCACTCTCCCCTCCACCTTCACAATAGTACCTTAGTTCCTGTGACTGAGGCAGGACAGCCTCAGGAGCTCCCAAAACACAGCTCCCAGGCAGGCTTCTGTACACAGGTGGTGTTCCACATGCTCTGCTAGATATCCTCACCGGCACTAACTCACTCAGCTCCTCTCTCACTACTTCATACTCTCAGCCAGATGGGGCCACACTAACATCCACAGGTTCCTAGAGCTCCATAGCTCTTCTTTAAGGGTGGCGGCCATATTAGAGAGTATGCTGGTGTGTACAAGCTTCACCTCACTCAACTCTAGCAGTCAGGTATCCGAGAGGTAGGTGGTTGGTTTACAATCACTGTTAAATATCTCTATTAAGGCAAAATCTCTAGTTTTGCCTCGTCAATAAAGATATCTTATATCCTATACTTTAATACACTTTAAATTTGTTATTGTACGGAGAATTTAATCCAGGGCCTCATGCTTGCTAGGCAAGCACTCTACCAATGAGCTAATTTACCAGCCCTTTTTATTTTTATTTTTTATACCTTTATTTTGTTAGTTTTTTATGTGGTGCTGGGGATCAAACCCAGTGCCTCACATGTGCTAGGCAAGCACTCTACCACTGAGCTATTAAATTAAATTAAATTACCCAGGCTGCCCTCATACTCATGAACCTCTAGCCTCAGTCTCCCAGATAACTGGAATTACAGGCATGTGCCTGGCTGCACTTTATAATTTTTAAAGCAGTTTAGTGTGAAACCCTGGGCTCAATCTCCAGTACCCCACCCACAAAAAAGAACATATAAAGCAATTTATACTCTTTATCTGAGCAGATGTTCAAAATATATGAAGAAATAATAACATCCCAGAACTGTGCCACATGTGACCAGTCAATGACACAGTGCTGTCATTCCTTTTACTTTTTTTTAAATATTTATTTTTTAGTTTTAGGGGGACACAATATCTTTATTTTATTTTTATGTGCTGCTGAGGATTGAACCCAGTGCCTCATGCATGCTAGGTAAGCGCTCTACCTCTGAGCCCAACCCCAGCCCCCTGATCATTCCTTTTATTTTGAAGGATTTATTTTTTAGCAATGGCAATAGGGGAAAACAGGGTGGGTAAACCATGAATTCCAGGCCTGCCGGAGGAAAGGGAAATCAAACCCTAAGCAAATAAAAAGATCACTGCAAGCAAATGAGTCTAGACCTGTCTGGACTCTTTAGAGGTCACAGGTGGCAGCACGGAGAATAGTTCCATTAGTACCTTTAGCTCCTGGCACACAGTGGCTCTGCAGTAGTGGATGAAATCCAGCACAGCCACTGCCCCCAAGCCTAGGCTCAGCAACACACTGAGGTCATCCACCAGCAGCACTGGACACCTCCAGGTAGCCTCCTCATTACCCACGGGTTTCAAGGCCTCCCGTACAAACTGATACAATGGTTCCAAGTTCCCAGCACTGGCCTCCCTAGAGAAACAAGACAAAAGTCACCAGAGCTCATTTTTTTCTACAAATATTTATATGGGACCAAGTGGCACTAGGAAAGTGCCAGAAGAGACCAAGAACTATATCACAGTTCTTGGCAATCTGGAAAAGAAAAGGCATGCTCATGTGAAAGTTTTACTCCAATTCAAATACTTCCTGCAGCCTAGTAGGTACAAAGCACTGTTAGAAACTGGGGAACACAAAAATGAATAGCTGCTGGGCGCCTTAAAAGATACCATACGGGGGCTGGGGATGTGGCTCAAGCGGTAGCGCGYTCGCCTGGCATGCGTGCGGCCCGGGTTCGATCCTCAGCACCACATACAAACAAAGATGTTGTGTCTGCCGAGAACTAAAATAAATTAAAAAAAAAAAAAAAAAGATACCATACAGGGCTGAGAATACAGTTCGGCTGGTAGAGGGTTTGCCTCGCATGCACAAGACCCTGGGTTCAATCCCCAGCACCACAAAAAAAAAAAAAAAGATACCATACAGGGGCTGAGGTTGTGGCTCAGTAGTAAAGCACTTGCCTAGCATGTGTGAGGCACTGGGTTTGATCCTTAGCACCACATAAAACTAAAACAAAGGTGGTGTTGTATCCATCTACAACTAAAAACAAAGTAGCATGTAAAGAAAAAAAAAAAAAAAGACACCATACAGCTGGGAGTGGTGGCACACACCTATAATCCCAGCTGCTCTGGAGGCTGAGGCAAGAAGATCCAGCCTCAGGCAACAGTGACGTGCTAAGCAACTCAGTGAGCCCCTGTCTCTAAATAAAATACAAAATAGGGCTGGAGATGTGGCTCAGTGATTAAGTGCCCCTGAGTTCAATCCTTGATACCGTCCCGCAAAAAAAGAGACACACCATACAAGCTAGGTGCAGTGGTGTCCTTAGCTACTTGGGGAGAAAAGACAGAAGGATCACAAGTTCAAGGCCAGCCTCAGCAATTTAGTGAGACCTTGTCTCAAAATTAAAAATATTAAGAGCTGGGGATGGAGCTCATTAACAGAGTGCCCTGAGATTCAATCATCAGAACCCCCTCCGCCACCTCCCCCCCAAAAAAAAGAAGAAGAAAGAAAAAGAGAGAGAATATAGTTTCTCAACCCAAGAGTTTATTATACATCCAGGCTGGGCACACTGGTGCATATCTGTAATCCCACCAGCTCAGGAGGCTGAGGCAGGAGGATGCCAAGTTCAAAGCCAGCCTCAGCAATTTAGTGAGGCCCTAAACAACTCAGCAAGACCCTGTCTCTAAATAAAATATAAAAAGGGCTGGGGATGTGCCTCAGTCGTTAAACGCCTCTGATACAAAAGAAAAAGAGAGAGAGTTTATGGGCTGGGGTTGTAGCTCAGTTGTAGAATACTTGCTTAGCATGGATGAGGCATTGGGCTCAATCTTTAGCACCACATAAAACAAATAAATAAAAAATAAAGGTTAAATTCTAAAAAAAAAAAAAAGAGTTCATGACATCTGGAAGATTAGATTGGCGTAAGCAGATAAAGAATTCCTAGGAGGCCATGTTGCTGTAAAAAGTTAAACAGGCCAGGTGCAGTGGTGTAGGCCTATAATACTAACTACTTGGGAGGCTGAGGTAGGAGGATTCTAAGTTCAAGAACAGCCTCAGTCACTTAGTGAGAATCTGTCTCAAAATAAAAAATTAAAAAGTATCTAGAGATGTAGCTCAGTGGTATAGTGTCCTCAGGTTCAATCCCTAGTACTAAAGGAAAAAAAAATTATTTAATAGCAATTCTGGTGCTTTGGTGGTAAAGGATAGTGGTCTAAGAGCTGTTTCTAAGCATAACAGATCTGACCTGTTTATGACACAAGCTAATCCATCTCCTTCTGAATGCCCTAGCAGTCAACTCCCAGCAATGAGTAGAGGAATGAAGCCCAGGCCCTCATGTTCCAGGGCTGAGCTCTTGGCATTGGGTTATCTTCCCTAACAATGAAGCAACTCCCCACACCTTGCGATCAGGTGTAATTAGCCCTTACATTCAGATGAAGAAACCCAGGATTAGAGGTACTAAGGAATGTGTTCAAGATCATAGATGGAGTCAGGGAATATAGTCTTCTAGTCCACTGAATAAGGGGATACCTGAAAGAAGGAGGCAGAGGGGAGAGTTCATATGAACTCCTGATCAGAAGTAGGAAAACCAATCTGAGATCTGTGATTTTTTAAAATTAATTATTTTAGTAGTACTGGGTATTAAACCCAGGGGCACTTTATCACTGAGCTCCATCCCTATTCCTTTTTAATTTTGAGACAGGGTGTCACTAAGTTGCTCAAGTTGGCCTTGAATTACAGTCCTCCTGCCTCAGCCTTCCAAATTGCTGGGATTATAGGCCTGCACCATGGCACCCATGTAGACCTGTGATGTTGGATACCAAACCAGGTGATGACAAATTTTTTGTTAGAAGAGACAGATAATAAATAGAGAGTAGATACTAAATATTTAGAATTGAGGGTCACATGACCCCTGTCCCAACTATGCACTATCACCATAGATCAAAATAGCCAAAAACAATATACAAACAAAATTTTAAAAAAACATGGCTAGCCCAAGGCCCTTAGTTTGCTGATCCTTGTACCAAGGAAAGAATAAAGCAAAGTTGTACATGCAATGGCTCTGAGCCAGGGTTTGAAAAACAGCAAAGCATGTTGTTCTGCCATACTCCCAGCAAATGATGCTTTCTGTATGTAGCCTTTGGGACAACTGTGTTACCTTAGAACCATTATGAGAGCCATGCACATTCTTTTTGCTACCAAGGATTGAACAGGGGCATTTAACTACTGAGCCACATCCCCAGCCCTTTTTAAAATTTTATTTAGAGACAAGGTCTCATTGAGTTGGGCCTTGCTAAATTGCTAAAGTTTGCTTTGAAATCACAATCCTCTTTCCTTAGCCTCCCAAGCTGCTGGGATTAAAGTGAGCCATGTGCTTTCTGATAATGCTGCAACACCAGGTGAAGTGTCAGATCCCAGAAGCTAGTTCTGTCTCCTACACAAGAAGAAATCACACAGCAAACCTTTCCTGTCAGGTATGCACTCTGACCTGAGAAACTGCAGCGGGTGTGGCTCCTCCTGAGCCTGGAAGAAGACATCCACTGAAGACTTGAGACCCTCAAGGAATACAAGCTGCCCACGTTCCCTTGCCATGGTCAGACTGATACCCTAAAGATGAGAAAAAGAACAGTGAATTACTGTGCCTTATAAAGGAACCCTTTAGAGAGGCTAGATGTAACTCATAAGAAGGTTCAAAACACATTCCAAACCCTGCAAATGTGAACGTGTCTAATTATTTTTTTTGACCATGGCACTTGCCCACTGAGCCACATCCCCAGCCTTATTTTGTATTTTACTTAGAGACAAGGTCTCACTGAGTTGCTTAGTGCCTTGCTTTTGCTGAGGCTGGCTTTGAATTTGTGATCCTCCAGTCTCAGCCTCCCAGCTGCTGGGATTACAGGTGCGCAGCCCTCTTTCTCTCTCTCTCTCTCTATATATATATATTTTTTTTTTTTTTAAAGAGAGAGTGAGAGAGGAGAGAGAGAGAGAGAATTTTTAATATTTATTTTTTTTTTTTNACCTGGATGACAGATGCCCAGTCTCTGCTCCCCGCAGCTCAGATGCCCTCCCAGGCCTGGGTGGGGGACAGCTGAGTGCCACAGCTGCACAGGAGGCCTGGATGGGCACCTGGAGACCTGGCACCTCACCCAAGTGCAGCTGGGGAGTGGAGGCCGCGCCCTGCAGGGACGGCTGCTGTCCAGAGAGAGGGATGCAGGGGAGGGAGAGGGGCGGAGGAGCCCGGGGCCTCTGAGAGGAAGGTCAGCCAGGCTGAGGGTGCTGGCTGGTGACCACTGGACTGGGCTCAGCTTCTGCCCTTGATTTCCACGGGAATTCCCCTCTGGCCTCCGAGGCCTGCTCGTCACACATGCGCAATCCCAGCTAAGACACGGCACCTTTTATTTATTTACTGAGAGAGAGAATTTTTAATATTTATTTTTTAGTTCTCGGCGGGCACAACATCTTTGTTGGTATGTGGTGCTGAGGATCGAACCCGGGCCGCACGCATGCCAGGCGAGCGCGCTACCGCTGAGCCACATCCCCAGCCCTCTATATATATTTTTTAAACATGCTGTCATTTTTTTAATACCTTTATTTTGTGTATTTATTTATTTATTTTTATGTGGTGTTGGGGATCAAACCCAATGCCTCATGCATGCTAGGCAAGTGCTCTACCACTGAGCCACAACCCCAGCCCCCTGTCTACTCTTAATACAAGCCCATACTTTCTTGCCCCTGGGCATTCCCAGCTCACAATTCTCATTATGTTTTCAGACATGCGTTTCCATTTAACTGCCACATTTTTAAGAATTTACATTATATTGCTTAAACACATAAACACACACACAAATTTTATGATTAAGCAATATTGATATTTTTGGTTTTTAACTTTCTTTCTTTGAAATGGTCTCTTTAGGTTGCCTAGGCTAGCCTTGAACACCTTAGCCTCCCAAATTGCTGGGATTATAGGTATGTGCCACCATGTCCAGATGAGAATTTACTCATAAAGAGTTCTTACTGGGCGGGGGATGTGGCTCAAGCGGTAGCGCGCTTGCCTGGCATGCGTGCGGCCCAGGTTCGATCCTCAGCACCACATACCAACAAAGATGTTGTGTCCGCCGAGAACTAGAAAATAAATATTAAAAATTCTTTCTCTCTCTCTCTCTCTCTCTCTCTCTCTCTCTTTAAAAAAAAAAAAAAAGAGTTCTTACTATATTTCAGGGAGATTGACAGTTGCAGTTTATGAGTTGTATTTTTTTTTTTTTTTTTTAGGTACTAGAGATTAACTCAGAAGCACTTGACCACTGAGCTACATCCCTAGCCCTATTTATATTTTATTTAGAGATAGGGTTCTCACTGAGTTGCTTAGCACCTTGCTTTTGCTGAAGCTGGCTTTGATCTCTGGATCCTCCTGCCTCAGCCTCCTGAGCTGCTGGGATTACAGCAGCAGTGGCTATGAGTTTTATCTTTTTTTTTTTTTTTCCTTGTACTGGGTATCGAATCCAGGGACATGTTACCACTGAGTTACAGCCCTAGCCCTTTTTTATTTTTTTATTTTGAGACAGTCTTGCTAAATTGCTAAGGGTGGCCTTGAACTTATGACCCTTCTGCCTCCGCCTCCTGTATTGCTGGGATTACAGGTGTGCCACCTCATCTGGCTTAGTTGTATTCTTTAAAAATTTCAGAACCTTGGGCTGGGGTTGTAGCTCAGTGGTAGAGTGCTTGCCTAGCATGTGTGAGGCACTGGGTTTGATTCTCAGCACCACATATAAGTAAATTAATCAAATAAAGGTCCATCAATAACTAAATTAAATAAATAAATAAATTCAGACTTTGAGATCACGTGCCACTGATGCAGGAAAAAGAGCCAGATGAAACCAAAAGCCTGGCCCTTTTGCCTGCATCATCATTTTCCAGACTTTGACCATTCACCTATTGTCTTATTATTCACTTAATGCTGATTTTAAGTGTGATCTTTTTTGTGTGTGTATGTGTGTTTGTGTGTGTGATGCTGGGGACTGAACGCAGTGCCTTGTGCATGAGAGGCAAGCACTCTATCTATGGAGCTATATCCCCAGCCCTGTGCTTATTTTTATAAATGCACGCATTTAAAAATAACACTTTAGGGGCTGGGGTGGTGGCTCAGTGGTACGGTGCTTGCCTAGCGTGTGTGAAGCACTGGGTTTGATTCTTAGCACCACATATAAATAAATAAAAATAAAGGTACATTTGACAACTAAAATTTTATATATATATATATATATATATATATATATATATAAAACTTTATATTACTATGGTTAATTAAAAACCGATATTGAGCCAGCATGGTGGTACATGCCTGTGATCCCAGTGGTTCAGAAGGATGAGGCAGGAGGATTGCAGGTTCAAAACCAGTCTCAGCAATTTAGTGAAACCCTAACTCAAAATAAAAAATAAGGGGCTGGGGTTGTGGCTCAGTGGTAGAGCACTCACCTAGTATGTGTGAAGCCCTCAACACCACAATAAAAATAAATATATTAAATAAAGGTTATAAATAAATAAATAGATAAATAGGGATGGGGTACAGGGTGGGGATGGGGTATATGGTGGCACAGGCCTATAATCCAAGCAGTTTGTGGGGCTGAGGCAGGAGTATCACGAGTTCAAAGCCAGCCAGCAATTTAGCGAAGCCTTAAGCAACTCAGTGAGACCCGTCTCTAAATAAAATATAAAAAAGGACTGAGGATGTGGCTCCATAGTCAAGTGCCCCTGGGCTTAGCTCAATCTCTGGTACCAAAATAAACATAGGCTATTGAGAGCTTATGGTGCTTCCCCAGCATTCAATTTCTAGCACTGCAAAAAAAAAAAAAAAAGAAAAGAAAAGAAAAAGAAAAAGAAAGAGGGGGGGGAGGGAGGAAGGGAAAAGAAAAGAAAAAGGCAGATCCCTGGGCCTGATTTCAGACTTCCAGAATGAGGGCAGGGCCCAGGATCTGCATTTCAATGAACACACAGGGATGAAGTTGCATACTAAATACACACTCCCCACTCCACCTGTGCAGAAACAGATCACATGGAAAGTCTTTCCCAGGCCCTAAACCAGGTCTCAACTGCTCACTCACATACCAAACATCAAGTACCCTCCACTATCCCACAAATTTTGTGGTTCTACAGCTGCACAAACACACACAAAACACACACAGACTCCTGATCCTCACTTTGCTCTGGCTCACTACCAGTTCACTTATATAAATGCAATAACGTGCCACAAGCATGGAAGCTCACTCCACATGCCAAGTGCTGGGCATGCCATTCCTGCTGGGCTGATGACCACTCAAAGGTGAAAGGAAAATGGCCAATCTGGATGTGAGAGTGCACAGCTTGCTCATCCTGAAGCAGAGGCTGAGGCCTGAGACATGCCTCAGTGACCTGTAATGCAATGCTGGTCCTTACAGGGCTGCTCTCCTGGAGCTCATGCCCTCACCTCCAACACAGGAGTTTCTTCCTTCTCTAGAGGACAGGAAGAAGTTGCCCTTCTCTTACCCTTCATTTGTTTCTCCCAAACATAGAAAAGGCAGTGACTTGGCCTAACAGTAAGACTGGCATTTTAAAGATCACTGTGGGGCTGGGAATGTGGCTCAGTGCCAGAGGCCTTGTGTATGTGTGAAGCCTTGGGTTCAATACTTAGCACTGCAGAAAAAAAGAAAAAGAAAAAAGCAGGTGGCCTGGTTCCTTCCCTCTCTAAGACTGACATGGCCCCTTCAGTCCTCTTCAGTTCCCATGCTCAGGGAGTACGTACAGCTGGTCACAGATCATAGATCATGGCTCCAGCTAGGGGAGGAAGTCCACTGGTCTCTTGGCTATGCTATTCTCATCTGACTATATCTGATGTAGGTGAGGGGCAGGCAACAAAAAGCACCTCTCCCCACATTTGGGTCTCAAGTCCTAGATGGGGATAAAGTGGGAAGCAACTAACTTGGCAAGAGACCAATCTGTGATCTCCAACATAGCAGGACCAAGATGAAAGCTCACAGTGAGAAGGAGAAACCTTTTAGTAGAAGAATTTGATTAATTGACATCCACAAACAACAAGTCTGCTTATATAAACTCTCAATAATAACACACACCAAGATGCTGCTTTTCCCTTTTAGATAAAAGGCTCAGAAGTCCAACATTTCCTTAGATGGAGCCCAGAGCTTCAGTGCATGATAGGCAAGCACTCTACCACTGAGCCACATCCCCAGTCCCCTTCTTTGCTAAATTCTCTACAACCCGAACAGGAAAGTCCATTCTTAGCCCACATTCATACACGAATGGCATACATTCTCACTCAGGAGGTCTAAAATATTTACCAGCTTCTGTCCCACGATATTGTAGTGACTGAAAGACTGGACAAGTGCCACAAAGCAGACTTTACAGTTAGCTAGAAAAGAAAACAAATTGACTTTTAATAACTCCCCTGCTTATAATCCGTCCCACACTTCATACCTCTGGAAACAAAAACACTGAGGCAGATCTAAATATCCAGAGGAGGCCTTGCAGCCTGACACACCTAATTTGCATCTAAGATGCACTTTTCCTCATATTTAACAGTTATGCCTTAATTCACTGCTTCTGAGATGTATTTCTGTTTGATTACTTTTGTCCCATTAGAAAGTGTTTCTTTTTCAACTTTTTTCTTTTCTGTTTACTCTTAGTATACAGGAATGTAATTAATTTTTTACTTTTCTGGTACTGAGGATTGAGCCAAGGGCTGCTTGAACACTGTGCTACATGCTCAGCACTTTTTATTTTGAGACAGGGTCTCATTAAGTTGCTTATGGCTTCAGCAAGTTGCTGAGGCTGGCCTTGAACTTGCAATCCTCCTACCTCAGCTACCCAAGGCTCTGAGACTACAGGCATGCACCACAGTGCCCAGCCCACTTTTTAAACTAGTCTTATATCCAATACAAAATACAAGGACCACAAGGTCTCCAGCTACCTGAATAACTGTAATAATCCTAATTTATCTGTAGATTCTGTAGCATGCTGTTTCTTTCTTTTTATATTTATTTTTTTTAATTGTAGTTGGACACGATATCTTTATTTTATTTATTTTTATGTGGTGCTGAGGATCGAACCTGGGGCCTCACACATGCTAGGCAAGCGCTCTACCACTGGGCCACAATCCCAGCCCTATTCTGTTGCTTTTTCTGCGCTGACAATCCCATCATCTGAAAGAAAATCACTTTCGAAGTTGTAAATTATTCTTTACTTTATATCCTGGCTTGGCACAGGAGAATCCACTGATAAATGAATTTCTTTTTCTTTAGGTTATTTTCTTTTTCTAGTCTACTTCCAAATGTGAACTGCAGATATTCTTTAGGAAGCAACTACTGCCAGGGAAAAGTGTCAATGGGGTCAAGTACCCTGAGACTAAAAACACTCAAGGATTTAGAAACAATTAAGTCAGGAAGCTCGGTGAGGTAGTGTCTGCACAGCACCTGGAGAAGGGGAAGCAGGACATGATTACAGTAAGCACATGCCACTCTTTGAAAGAGGGAACAGATGGCCCAGTAATCTGTTCCTAATAAAAAAAAAAAAAGTCCCCAGTTACTCAGACACCAAAGCCCTGGTTATTTATACTTGCGTTTCTAGGAATTGAATTTAGGACCTCACACATGCAAGACCCATTCTCTACCATGGAGCTATAGCCCCATGGTTAATAAATGCCTTTTATCTTGTGCTTGTGGGCAAGTGTTCGCTAGGCAAGTGTTCGACCATTAAGTTAAATTCTGAGTCTTTTATTTATTTATTTTTATTATTTTGTAATAAAAAAAGGTGCCCAGGGTGGCCTAGCACTTTTGATCCTCATGCCTTAGCCTCCGGAGTAGCTGGGACAATAGGTGTGTGTCAATCAATGCTCTTCCCATTGCTTCCTCAAAGTTTTTCTTACTCTTCTTCTCCTTCTTTTTTCTTTTCCTTTTTTGCCTTAAGTTTTTTTACAGAATTAATGAGAGTCATACCTTTGAGGTAGAAGGAAAGAAAATGGTGGACAAGGAAACTGCCATCTGTCTTGGCATCACAGAGTAAAGTCAGTTTTCCCTAAAAGTTAAGAGGACACAAAAAGGTGAATTAGACTTCCTGAAAAGAGATCAGCCCAATGTAGAAATACTGGTCTCTCCTAAATTTCTCCACCTAGACACCTAGAATGTTGTGGTTTTTCTAGTACTTGGGATTGAAACCAGGGACACACTTTACCACTGAGCTACATCCCTAACCCTTTTTAAATTTTTAAGACAGTTTTGCTAAGTGGCTGAGGTTGGCTTGAACTTGCAATGCTCCTGCCTTATTCTCCAGAGTTGCTGGGATTACAGATATGCACCACCAATGCCTGGCTAGAAAATGTATTTTTAAATGAAAAATATGCTAAACTTACCCCAAGTTGAAGAAAATAAATCACAATTATGGGGGAAAATTATGAGTATTAGGTAACTTATGACAGACAAGCATATCTCAGCCTCCACTTTCTTAAAGCAAAACACAGAATAAAATTCCTCTCTTTCCATTCCTCACTTTAGTAACTCAGGCACCAGTCTTGGGGAGAACCAAATCCTTAGCAAAGGAAGTGCTGACCATCAGATGCCAATCAATCAGATTGCAGGACAGGGAAAGGACCTTCAAAAAGGTCTTCTGACATAACTTCTTCCCTATTTCTAATTCTTTTTTTTTTTAATATTTATTTATTTTTTAGTTCTCGGCGGACACAACATCTTTGTTGGTATGTGGTGCTGAGGATTGAACCCGGGACGCACGCATGCCAGGCGAGCGCGCTACCGCTTGAGCCACATCCCCAGCCCCCCCATTTCTAATTCTAATGTCAATTCTGTCTGTGAGGTGGGGGAGAGGGGAAGAAATAGCTGTTTACAGAGACCAGCAATTACACAGTTCTCTTGGTGGTCTGCTTCAAATGGGGTTCAAACCTTGGAGTGTCTTTGAAAATACCTCAAAAGATGGCTTCTGCAGAGTCTGGTTGCCCTACCCCAGACAACTCTAGTTCTGTCAATGACAGGGAACATCAGGATCAAGTGGTATCACACATGCCATCTTCAAACTGTGTGACTTTAGGCAAGTGCCTAACTTCTCTGGGCTTTAGTTTTTTCACTTATAAAATATAAGTAACCTTGAGGGTTACCCCCTCCCCAGTGCTTTCATTTCCTGGTGCCATTTCAAACCTCACTCTGGTCCAGGGTGAGGACTTCAGAAGTGCTCTAGTAACTGGCAAAGTAACCAGCGCCATCTGGAGGCTTAAACACATGAGAATTGCTGGGCAACCAAAATCCATAAGAATCTATTGAAACTACAATTTGCCCAACACTATCTGGTATCATGGCTGCCTGTGATAGGGGACAGATGTGAGCAGTGGAAATGTAAGGTTAAAGGCATAATTCTATAAACTGGGCCCCCTATACTGACCCCTAAATGCTTTTTTTTTTTTTACATTTTTTTTAGTTGTCAATGAACCTTTATTTTATTTATTTATATGCTGAGAATCAAACCTAGTGCCTCACATATGCTAGGCAAGCGCTCTACCACTGAGCCACAACCCAGCTCCCAAATACTTTCTTTTAAAAAGCAACTTACCTGCAGCCCTGACTGGCTTAAGTGACAGGATATGTCACTTCAGTAAACTATCTGTTATCTGCAGGAGAAATGCAGTTCCAAAATAATTCTGATAAGAAAAACACAAGTTATCCTATAGCAGTCATTTTTGTGACCCTTTCACAGACCAGTTCCCCAAACTCAGGGAGATAAAAATAATCCCCCTAACCATAAAATCTTTAAGAACAGGTTCCAATCAGAACCATTCAGCATGGGCCAAAGTGACTTAGAGCTGGCATGGCAGTATGGAAAATCTGATGTCCAGGCTAGGGCTGCAGCTCAGTGGCAGAGTGCTTGCCTAGCATGTGTGAGGCACTAGTTTCTATGCTTAGCACATTGAAAAAATAAATAAACAAACATAATAAAGGCTGGCTGTCCATCTACAACTACAAAAAAATTAAAAATAAAAATAAATAACAAGTCTGATGTCATCCTGCTGTCAAAAGTCAAGAGGTGGCCCTGGGCCAGGACTCTGGAAACTTCCCTGGGTCGCGAAATAAAACTAGAGGGCAGGGGCTGGGGTTGTGGCTCAGTGGTAGAGTGCTCACCTAGCACGTGTGAGGCCCTGGGTTCGATCCTCAGCACCACATAAAAGTAAATAAAATAAAGATATTGTGCACAACTACAACTAAAAAATAAATATATAAAAAAAAAAAAACTGGAGGGCGGAGAGGCATGCCGTCCCTCTCTTAAAAAGACCCACTCTCTCCCCTTTCTCCTTTCCCATTCCTTCTAATAAACTCAAGCCTGTTACTCTGGACAACATGTCTGAAATCTTTTTGACTTGATCACAAGAATTTCGGGGAGGGGCGTAGTTCGCGCTGCCTCAATTCCCAGAAGGCCTCAGCTCTTTAACCCCTGGAGAAACCAACCACTTCATGAGGAAGATCGAGGTTATGGATTAAGTCAGATGTGTTCTTGGAAAAGGTAGGTCTGCATTAAAATTAAAATATTCCCAGGTGTGAGAAAGGTGGAATAAACAGTGGCTAGGCTGTGGCGCCGCAGGCTGGCTTTGAACAACCCTTTGAAGACCCTACTAGACACCACAGGAGACAGGTACGGCCGCGTTCTAGGACACCTGCCGAGCGCTCCAGGACAAAGTAGGATTCGGGAGGAAGACAATCAGGCTCAGTCTTCTCTCAAACTCCTTTGCACAGGCTGGGTTGCGGCCCAGTGGCAGAGCACTTGCCGAGCATGTGTGAGGCACAGGGTTCGATTCTCAGCACCACATATAAATTAATTAAAGTTCTATCAACAACTAAAACATTAAAAAAAAAAACAAACTCTGCAATCTCTCTTGGGCGCCAGGGACCCCATCCCAGTGAGCGCACAAAAGTCTCCCCAGTATATGTCTGTAAACTAAGCCAATCCGACCGTCCGATAAGCTTTTAAGGGCAGGCACGGCCTTTAAGGGCGGAGGGACAGTCAAGAAGCACTTCTCCCCCGGGCTCAAGCTCAGGAACAGGCCTCTCCACACTACAACACCCAGGATCCAGGCCCAGACGGTCCGCGTGCCTCCCCATCGTGCGCCCTACGTCCCGGATGCAGTCTTCCGTCACGCTCCCAGGACCCGCCCCCTTCCGGGCCGCGCGACCTCTTACCTGCTCCACCCCGGGAAGGGTGGTGTTCAGAAGGTTATTAAGTTCCGGGAACATTCCAAGCTCCGGTGGGTGAGAAACCGGTGCTACGGAGGCTCCGGAGTACGAAGAACAACACACACCCGCGATTACACTGTTGCGCGATGCGCGCGCATACGCAACGCCACTCCTGGAAACTCTACCGCAGCCAGTAGACGGGCGCTCGGGGGGCCGCTGCGGGCGCACGCGCGGAAAGCGCGTCGCGCCTGGGGAGGCGGAGCACTATGCCATAGCTGCTGATCTGCGGCTCTAATGGTTTCTGGTCTCTCGTCTCCCATGCCCTCCTTGCTCAGTGCCTGGCCTTGACTAACTCGATGGTCGAGAGTGCCCTTACCCAACTAGAGCACGTCATGCTAAGTGAAATGAGCCAATCGCCCAAAACCAAAGGCCGAATGTTTTGTCTGTTAAGCGGATGCTGAGCCATAGGGAGGGGAGTGGATTGTGCGGAGGGGAGTGGGGATGGGAAGGACCGTAGAATGAGACTTTATTACCTACATACCTGTATGATTACAGTACTGGTGTGACTCTGCACCATGTACAGCCAGAGGAATGAGACGTTGCGCTCCATTTGTGTACAAGGTATCAAAACGCATTCTACTGTCATGTATAACTAATTAGAGCAAATTTTTAAAAAAGGAGACCAGTGGAATAGAAGAAGGGGATGGGGGAGGGAGGGGAAGGAAAGAGGAGGTACTGGAGAATGAAGTCGATCAAATTATACTGTGTAATTGTCGGCACGTATGGGTATATTATTACACACACACACACACACACCCCAAAAAAAAAAAGGAAATGTGCCCTTGCTCCTCAGGGTCTTTGTACAGAAATTAACTTTTTACCCGAAATTAATTTGATTTACCTGGCATTGTGGACATGTCTGTAATCCCATGTACTCCTGAGGCTGAGATAGAAGGATGGCAAGTTGAAGCAATTTAGGGATGAAGTAGAGGAAACAGGTAATCATAGTGGGGGTAAAATGGTGAGAGTGCATAAGGAGGATGGATGTCGGAACCACCATTTGAGGTATGCTCCAGCACGTCAAACAACAATGTGTTTCCTAAAAGGGACAAAAGACAAAAGACTCCTTCTTGGGGGGCGGGTGGGGGGGGGAGGCAACTCGCAGTTCAGCCTAACACACAAAACAATTAAAATCTCTAGGACAGTTTCAAGGAGTCAACTTCCCCACCTGTGCCTTTTAAAAAAAGGATACCAAGAGACCCTAGTGGCACTCTTGCCTCAACCATACTCTCCATTGGGAGCTTTCTTACACTTCTAAACCTTAACCTCCTTAATAAGTTTCTGCTTGCTTGCTTATCTCCACGTTCGCGTGTGCATTCTTCACCTCCCTGGAACACAGAGGGATCCCGATTTCTACCGATAAAAGCGAGATCCTGTCTCAATAAAATAAAATAAAAAGGACTGGGACTGTAGCTCAGTGGTAAAGTACCCCAAAGTTCATTCCCAGTACTGGGAGGAGATTCAGCAGATTTAAAAATCCCCACCTCCTTCAAGTCTTTCTTCAAATGCCATTTATATCTCTTACACCCTATATCCCATTCAGCCTCAACCTCACAGACACCTGTAATTCCACCAAAGTCAAGTGTATGGACTCATTGCTTACAAGTGGAGCCCTAGAGCCTGTCACTAAAGGGAAAAGAGTTGTTAGGACTTGGGAAAGAGTGGGGTTCAGGTGACATTAAAGAAAACAATGTCTTTGAGAAGCTCAAAGCCAAGCACAGCTTTGTGTAAAGGGGTCACTTATCTGTCCTGCACAGCAAGTGAAAGGACCAGGGTCCTGTTTTTGTGAAAACAACAAGTTTAATATAGATAAGGAATGTAGTCTCTTATCTGAAGCTCTGGCCCTGAAAAGGAAGTCAAGACCACTTCTCTGTGTCAAAATGACTTAAACACTTCAGCCAAAAATGGGCTGTTTTATGCTTACTGATATGTGAGAGAGAAAAACAGCCACTGTCCTCAGGAGCCAATCTGGTGCTCACAGCTGTCTTTTGTGTTCTGTTGAGCATAAACAATTTCACAAAACATCAGAGTCAGAGTTATTGTAATGGAACAAAACAAAAGTAGACCATTCCATAATCGTGTTGAACACAAAACATGTACATTATCCAACTCAGAAACTACCAAACATCTTTCTCCCAGCTAATAAGACTTCTGCTTCTTTATCAATCACAACTTTAGCCTTGCTGTACTGTCCCTGACAGATAAGATTTATTAAAATACCCACTTTCTGAAAGCACCCATTCCTAAGCAAAATTGTGCTCTGTAAACCTTTCCCAAATCACTTAAGAAGCCCAAATCCTATTATTATTTTATAATGCTTTTTTGGGGGGGGTACCTGGATTGAACTCAGGGTGCTTAACCACTGAGCCACATCCCCAGCCCTTTCTACATTTTATTTCAAGACAGGGTTTTCTAAATTCTTAGGGCCTCACTATTAGCTTTGAACTTGTGATTCTTCTGCCCAGCCTCCCTAGCCTCTGGGATTATAGGCACATATGCCACTTTTAATAATATCTTAACAAGAGTGATAAAATCAATCTTTTTTTTTTTTTTTTTGAGATAGGGTATCACTAAGTTGTTGAAGCTGGTCTTGAACTTTCTTTCCATCCTCCTGCCTCAGCCTCCTCAGTTTCTGGGATTACAGGCTTGCACCACCATACATGGCCTTCTTTAATTTCTCTAAGCAGTATTCCAATATTAATGCATTTCGTAACTTTTGTCAGAATTATATTTTGTAATTTTATGCTATCATAAATAACATTCTTAAATTTTCAATTTCCCTTACATTCTTGTCATATAAAAATTCAATAGATTTTTTTTCTTCATTGCTGGGCATAAAATGTAGGGCCCCACACATTCTAGACTAGTGCTCTATCACCAAGCTATACCCCCAGCCTACAAATGTTTCTAGTGTATTGATATTATCGTACAACCTTGCTAAACTTGTTAATTCTAGTAGCTTTGTAAATATTCCTTTGGACTTTCTATGTACATGATCATGCTCTTAGAGAGTAAAGACAGTTCTTATTTTCTAATCTAGATACCTTTTATTTCTTCTTCTTCTTCTTCTTCCTCTGCTGCTGCTTCTCCTTCTCCTCCTCCTCCTTCTTCAGTTCATTAAGCTTGAAATAGGGAGAGCATGCATCCTTGTTTTAAAATTTCTAATCTTAAGGAAAAGTTTTTGGCCGTGGGGATGGGAAGGACCGTAGAATGAGAAATATTAAGCACCTTTAATATTTTACCTATTTTTTATGGCTCCCTTTTGCAAGGTTGAAAAAAAATTCCTTGCTATGCCTATTTATTTATTTATTTAGTTTGTCTGTTTACTTATTTTGCATGCTTCTTTCCCAAAATAAGTAACTGGGGGGGGGGGGGTCCCTAGTTTGCTGAATGCTTGAGGATGACCTTCTGCAGATCTTCAGGTACTCTCTGTACAACACTTCCCTCTCTGGTACTATGTCCTTGAAACTCTGGCTGCCCAGTTCTCCCTACACTCTTTCCAACTCAAGGAGTAATCCAGGATCCGCCTTAGTTCCTCCTCCTTGTTGGGAACTCTTTCAAGGCCATCAGTTTGATCATGGGACTCATTTTGTATGTTCTCATTTCTCATGGATCACATCCTATGTTGCCTAATGTCCAAACTCATGAAAGTTGTTGTTTCATACATTCGTATATTTCTTGCGTTGTTTTAAGCAAGAAGGCAAATCCAGTCCTGATTAATCCTTAGCATGTGCGTGATTGCGCACATGCGCACAAACGTGTGTGTGTGTGTGTGTGTGTGTGTGTGTGTGTGTGTATGGGATACTGGGGATTAAATCCAAAGCCTCCAGCTTTTGAACAAGTGCTCTACTGATGAGCTACATCCCAAGCCCTATTTATTGTTTATTTTGAGACAAGGTGTTAGAATCTGTAAACAAGTCAAAATAATACCTGGTATTTTGCCAGGGGAATAAACAAGTTCGTAAACAAGTCTGATTGGTGTCTGGCAAAATGCCAGAGGGAGTGGTTTGAGAAGTAACAAAAGCGAGCCATTAAGTGCCGAGATTCCTTATTGGTTGACTGATGTATCTAGTTTATGCTAATTAAGATAAGCTGTGCAAAATGTATAAATACCTCTGTTGTCCTACAATAAATGGCTCCTACTCCTGCTATATCAAGTACACAAGTTATTCGTCACACCCCCCCCCCCCCCCACACACCCCCCCCCCCCCCCACCCCACTCCCCGTTATTTTGCTGCAGCGGGACTGCGGCAACAAGGTCTTACCAAGTTACCTAGGGACTTGATAAATTTTTTGAGGCTGGCTTTGAATTTGCAATCCTCCTGCTTCAGCCTCTCAAGCCACTGGGATACAGGCATGTGGGACAGTGCCTGGCTTAGATTATCTTTTACTGAGTCAAAGTTGAACACATTTTTTCTTTACTGTTTGAGCATACTAAATCTCCTTTAAGAAAGTCTTTCTGTCCTAAACTTCATAAAGATATTCTTTATCGTCTCTATAAGTTACAACATATTTCTTTCCACATTTAAGACTTTAATCCCTCCATAATTGACTTTGATTGGTGTAACATAAAGGATCTAGATCAATTTTGGAATTAAAATGCTGCAATTAGCCTTGTTAGGAATTTTATTGGTATTATATTAAATCTTTAGATACAATTGGAGGATAATTTGTACTTCAATGTAAAACAGTGATTCTTCCTATATTTATTTATTCTATTATCAATGGTTCTTTTTCTTCTGAATGGAAAGATACCTCTGAGCAAGCACCACTGTGTCCCTGGCTCATGTGCAGGAGTCTCCCTCTATAATATCCATCCGGAGTAGATTGTTGGGTTATCACCCAGCAGGCAGAGATGAATTTGCCATAAACCTAATAAAGCTGATTTCGTATTCACAATGTTGTATTCTTTTTCTTAAAGAAAACCTTATCCCCTGTTGTACAAGCCTGTGGTCCCAAAATACCTGAATTCGCCTCCACTTAGTTTACACATGTGTTGAACAAGCCAATGTTAAGTTCAGAAAATTCAATCACAGAAGGATTTGACAAAGGCAATCGAGTAGAATGGCATTGGAAGGACTGAAGGAATCAAAGGCGAAGAGGCTTTTACATGGCAAGGAGTGAGCCGGCACCTCCCCTGGCC